TGTGGGTTATTTGGACATTTTATAGTATTCCTTTTTAGTTTTTCTGGTTTGTTTTTGACTATGTCTCTTTGTATAATGTTTTTTTTTCAGTGGTCGCTCCAGGTATCGTAATAAACATATTTAGCTTTTCACAGTATCTATAGAACTAATATTTTATCACGTCAAGTGGAATATAAATACCTTACTAGCTTATAGTCCCTTAAACCTTTGTCTCTTTATGTTTTGGTATTTCATATGTATTATGTCTATATACATTGGAAACTTCATCAGACAGTGCTATAATTTTTGCTGTCAACTATTATACATGCCTTAAACACTCGAGTGGAGAATCATTGTTATACTTGTCCCTGTTTACCATTTCCATTGGTCTTCCTTTATTCCTGGTGTTTCATGTTTTTGTCTGATATAACTTCCCTGAATAATAGAACATTCTTTCATTTTAGGGGAGGTTGTCTGTCAAAGAAGTTTCTTTCTTTTTCTTTATTTGGGAACACCTTTCTTTCATCTTCATTCCTGATCAGTATTTTCTTTGAGAAACCTGAAGTAAATTCCATTATTGTTCAACTACGTATAATGTGTCCTTTTTCTCAGGCTGCTTTTAAGATTTAGTCTTTTAGTTTTCAGCAGTTGGTGATGTGTCTGGGCATGGATTTATTTGACTGTATCTTTTTTAGGATGAGTTTTTTGGATCTCTAAGTTGATACGTTTTGCCAAATTTTTTAAGTGTTCAGCCATTATTTCTTAAGTATGTTTTCTGTACCACACTCCTCTCTCCTGGAATTCAGGCAACAAGAATGTTTGACCTTTGTCTGTTTTGCTATAGATCCATGAGACTCTCTTGTTTCTTTTTTCTTAGATATTTTTTTCTCTGTTCTTCAGATTTGATCATTTCTATTGATCAAGCTTCAAGTTTACTCTTTGCTCTGTACTCTCCATTCTGCTACAGAGTCTATCCAGGGAACTTTTAGTTCTTAAAATTCTGTTTCTTTTTCACATCCTCTGTTTTTTGGTGAGACTTTTTCTTTACATTTATTTCCAGAGTGTTCACTTTTACTTCCTAGAGCATGATTATAATAGAGATTTTTAACTGCCTTTCTGATAATTCCATTATCTTTGCCATCTTGGTGTTGACATCTGCTGGCTTATCTTTTGCCTTGCGAATTTCTTAGGTTTTCCTGGTTCTTTGTTGAGTGATTTTGGATTGTGTCTGGATCTGATATTGAATAGTATATAAGTCTTTAGATCTTAAAATCCTAAGAAGAATGTGAATTTTTTAAATTATAAATTTTATTTTAGTTGTTTTAGCAAATAGTCTTGTTCTGCTCAAGTTGCTAGTTCTGCCTTACCTTCTGTAGATGGCAGTTCCTGTGTCGGTTCAGTCCTTAAAGACTTTGCCATGTTATTTGGATCTGTCTGTGTTTGCATCATCATCTAGTGGCTGTTTTGTGACTGAGCAGCGGTTTATTCCATAGTTCAGTTCTCAAAGCCTTTGGTATGCTAATTAGGGTCAAATCTTGCATATCCAGCTTAGAAGTGAACCTAGCAGTTCATACACAACTTTATAGGAGCTCTTTCTTGAGTTCCTTTCTGTGATTTCCCACACATTTCTGAGTCCCCAGGGTCCTCCTTCCTGGATACTGGCTAGAAAGCATGGGCCTGAGTTCCCCTGGTCTGAGACACACTTCCTGCAATTGTGTCTGTATCTTAGGAGCACTGAGAAAGAAAAAAAAGTAATGAGAGTTTCACCATGCTGGTGAGATCACAGCATCTGTGATCAGAGGATGTGATTCCCCTATTTCAGAGTTTTAGGGGCCTGCTTGGCCAGTTCTGTTGTCACCATTACCCCTATGGCTTCTGTTTCTGTAGAATTGTCTCTGTTTCTGTAGAACTGTCCGGTGGTTGGGGCAGAAGAGAACTGTGGGGAAAAGGGGCTTTTCCTCACTCTTTGACACTTAGAAATTTCTCTTTTCATTTTCCTGAACAGAAAGAAGAATATACCTTGATATTGTACTCTGGCTTTCTTATTAGTATTTATATGATGCATCATTTTCTATCCTTTTACTTTTATCAATCTATGTCTTTATAAAAAGTGGATTTTCTGTAGATATTCTGTACTTAACTCTTACATTTTTATCCATTCTGACATTGTCTTTAACAATTTAAAGTTTAACGTATATGTTGATGTTTATCACCTTGATATTTGTTTTCTACATATCCCATCTGTTCTTTTTCCCTCTTTTCTACTTTAATCCTGCCTTCAGTTAATTGCTCATTTTTGCATTCTGTTTTACCTTTACTATTGGCTTTTTGTTCTCTCTGTAGTTTACAGTCTACATCTTCATCTTATAATCTATCTTTAAAATATATTACTTCCCATATAACAACCTTAAAATAATATAATTCTATTTCCTCATTCCTGACCTGCTAACTATTGTCAAAATTTTACTTCTGAATTAGTTATAAACCCCACTTTTTTTTTCTTTAAACAACCAAATGTCTTTCGAAGAAATTAAAGAGGGAAAAGTCCTTTTGGTTTACCTGTATATTTTCGATTTACATGCTCTGTCCCTTTGTATAGATCTGCATTTTCATCTAGTACCATCTCCCTTTCTCCTGTAACTAAGGTTTCTTACAGTGCCTGTCTGTGGGCAATGAATTCTTTCTGCTTCTGTCTTACATTTATATTTTTGGCATTATTTTCTCTGCATATAGAATTTCAGGTTGGCAAGATTCTGTTTTTTCCTTTCAGCATTTTGAAGATGTCATTCCATTGTTGTCTGGATTGAATAGGTTTTGGCAAGACAATCAACAGTCATGTTTATCACTTTTCTTCTAGAAAGTGACTTTTTTCTCCAGATGCTTTTTAGATTTTTTTCATTTATTTTTCAGCAACTTTTTTATAATATATGGTGTGGTGCATGTCTTTTATTATCCACTTGGGACTTTTTATTGAGATCCTTTGATCAGTGGGTTTATATATAGTTCACCAGTTTGGAAAATTCTGGCCATTAGTTCTTCACTTTTTTCCCCCTGTTATCTCCTTTTAGTACTCCAGTTACACATGGTTGATCACATGATTTTGTCCCATTCAGACTTCATATATTTATTTTGTTATCATTTGCTTCATTTTATACAGATTCTAACATTGTGTCTTAAAGTTTGCTAACTTTTCTTCTGTAAGTGTTTAATTTGCTATTAATCCTATCCAGTGAGAAATTTTCATTTTAGACGTTGAATTTATCACCTCTATAGATTCCATTTCATTTTTTATATCTTTTGTTTCTCTCATACTAGATTTCCATTAAATTTTTCAGAGTTACATTGTTTTAACATGTCTGTCCTTGTTCTGTCATATCTGGGTCTGTTTCTGTTGACTGATTTTTCTTGGTATGACTCATATTTTCCTACTTATTGTCATCTATTAATTTTTGATAGGATGTGGAACATTGTCCATGTCACATTGTTGATTGTCTGGATTTTGTTGTCTTACTTTAAAGAGTGGCAAGTATTTAAGTTACTTGTGGATCCCCGTGGTCCCTTTGAGTTCTTTTTTCTGTTTTTTTTTTTTTCTTTAGCTTTACTAGGATGCATTTAAAGTAGCTTTTACTTGGGGATAGTTCAGCAGTTACAAAGCTGTGACCATTTATAGCTCCCCAGTGAAGGCCTTAAAATGATTACAAGGACTCTCTACTTTGTCTCCATGAGTATAAACCTTAGAAATTGTTCAGCTTAAAACTCTCCTGTTGTATTTGCCCAGCACTGTGGATTTTTACCCTGTGCATGTGTCTGTTACTCAGCAAAAACTCAAGGGGATTCATGTGCAGATTTCTGGGGCTTGTTCTCTTTATAGCTCTCTTTTCATCAGAATTCTGCCTTTTAGCCTCCAGTCATCTCAGCCTCTCTAAACTGATTCTGATCCCCTCCACTTAGCAGGGATGTTCTTTCTCTGTACCTAGGAAGTGCCTCTAATTAGGAAGCGGGGTCAGTTGTGCAGATCACATAGTTCTCTCAGAGATCATAGTCTTGCACTGTCTGTTTTTGAGTTTTCTAATTATTTATGAATGGTGGCTGGAAACTATGTTATGTATTAATATCTTAGACTCTTTCTTAACTTTCCTCACTCTTCTTGCATATTTATTTTTCTATAAGAAATATGAGAATCATCTTGTCTCAGTTTTAAAAGTGCTATTTGTATTTAATGTGATCATGTTAAATGTATAGATTAACGTAGGGAGAACTGATAGCTTTAGAATATTGAACTTTGGTCACCAAGTACAGCAAATACCTTTCTAATTTATAATTTTATCCTATTAAGCTAGTATCTGTCTATTCCTCTTTTGAGTTTTTGCCAAAAATAGATACTATCTTCTCATACCTTTACTTTTTGCATACAAGTGGTCAGTTTTTTTCTTCATTAGTATGGTGACTTATGTGTATAGATTTCCTAGCATAAATCCCATTTATACATTCCTGGTATGAAACCCACTCAGTAACAGTCATTATTACTTTAAATAAACTGCTATGTCCTGTATGCTTGCTATTTTAGTTTGGACTTTTGCGGAGAATCTTGGATTACTTTTGACTGTTTCAAAATTCAAACTCCTAGCACTCATTTAGAATCCTTGAATAAATATGACAGGCTTTGAAAGTTTTTGAAAAGGGAAGAGTTCTCAGAATGCATGAGATAAGTGCATCATTGTGGTACTTGGATACTTTTAGCATTATAACACTTACTTAAATGTATTAGTGTTCATGTTTTTGTTTCAAAATAATTGTTGATTGATGCTGTTCATCTTGTTTATATGACAGGAACTTTTTGGCAAGGAGAAATAGGATTTTTTAAATTAAATCTTCTCAATAAGATGTGCTTATGTTATACAATATAGGTTGAACTTACATGGTCTAGATTTAGCAGAAAAAAAATTTAACCACCTGTTTCCATATAAAATTGTCTCAGGTCTCATTAATTCAGTTACAGAAGATGTTTTCCCTCTTCACAGGTTCAGTTTAATTTGCAGTTTACAAAACCAAGTACATCACTTGGAGATGTTCAATCAGGAACTATTAATCCTTGCTCCACTGATAAGGAAAAGTAAGTTCTTGACACAAAATTTAATGTTTGCAATTTTGAAAGTTTCCTTTCAAAAAAAAGTTTTTATCAGTGTTTGAAAGTTATGATATCCACTTACTTATATGACATTTTAAGTTTCTGATCAGTGAGATTTAAGTTTGAGTCACTTTTAGCTATGAAAAAGGTTTCTCGTATTTTTTAATACGAGATATATAGTGCGATAGATATATAGTAGAATTTAATATTTTAAAAAGATTTTCCTACACAAATGAAGAACACACTATTCTTGGGCAAGTAAAGAGAAATCTTTTAAATTCCTCACAGTTGGCTATTTTTTGTTTCCTGTTATAATGGCTATGTTTGTCTCTGGAAGCTCTTTGTTTTTCTGTTATGCTTACAGTGTAATCTGAGAAGTCAGCTAGGTAAACTGTTAGAATTCTTTGGTAAATAGGAATAAAATGGCTTGTGAGGTTGCCCCTTGGCCAAGCTAACATAAATAAGCTTCAGTGCCAATCTGTGACTTCTGTTTTGCCTACTCAGAAATTCCTTGCCTAGTTTTTAGATCTTAAGCAGGTTTTGCATAGTGAAGCTTGTTGAATCATGAGTTATGGCTAAGTAAACAATTTATATATGCAAACTTGTCTCTCTGAGTAGTCTTCATGTTTGTAATACTGTTTTCTTATCATTATGTTTCTTTATTTAAAATTTAATCAGTTTAAGGCCTGTCTGCTGGCCCTCATTATCATGAACTGTCACCATCCTGGTACATTGCAAACTACTGGCATGGCTCAGAGGCTTTGTATTCCAACTCTCTGGCCTTTATTCACTGCTTCCTCTAATATTGGCACCAAAATGAGTATTAAAATAGTTAATGTTGATGGGCCTCCCTTTTTTAAAAAGGTGAGAATTCTTTTAAGTTCTGAAATGTGTATGCTTATTATATTTAATCTCATACTTGTTTAGGTGGCAGAGCACCTGGAATTCATATTAATGGTAGAATACCATGATCTTTATATGTTTAACTCTATCATCTGCACACCAAGAACAATTTTACTTGCAGAAAAAATTGATCATATTTGTAGTACAAAATCAATCATGTGTCCATAAAATTAGGACTGTTCAGCTATTTTGAGTTTTTTTCTGTTTAGAATTGGTTTGTTGTCTTGTCAGCTGTTAATAAGTGGCAATGGGCATCAGAGGTTAAAGGAAAAATTAAAATTGAAAAAGACACCTATTCACCCACTTTATTTATTCTTTTCTGAAAATTGGGAAAAGACTATCATTTACTTTTAAAGATAAAATGTCATTGTTTTGCAAGAGACTTTAACTTCTTATAACAAGTGTACTGCTAGAGAACAAGTGTACTAGTGGACAGATTTCACAAGAAGGAATCTAGTGGTAGAAAGAGGAAAAATGTAACCACAGACATGCCCCCTCCTCTGTTTTTTTCAGAATTTCATATTTATAGTCACCTGACCAGAATTCATTATTGTACAATCTGTATTGATATTTAATAACAACAACTTTGAAGCACTACAAAATTTTGAGGAGCTTTTGGTCAAAGGAGAAAGAAATCTTACTCGTTTTAAATATAGGATGTGATAGAAATTAAATAATATTCTCAAGGCATAATGTGTATTTTTCTTCTGTCATGTACCATTTATGCATTACTATTTAAAATTTTATAGTACTCATAAGAGTTATTATTTACCCTACATTCCTTTTTCTAGCTTTCTAATGTTATTTATTATAACTTACTCTCTACTGGGAAGTGTACTTTGGCTTATGAAGAGATTAAATTACTTGCTTAAGAACCCAGTGAAGAATATGATTTGTTTTGAACAAAGCTATATATATAATTTAGTTATCTTGTATATAGTATATGTATATATAGAGAGATTAAACACTCAGAGTTAATTACTAAAGAAAAAATTAAACTTTGTTAAAATAAGTAAATAATTACTATTTTCCTTTCAAGTGGTGAAAATTTAGGGCTGGAGTCCAAGTATCTGAAGAAAAGGGAAGATAGCATTCCTTTACGGGGGCTCAGCCAGAATCTGTTTAATAATGCAGGTGAGAAGACGTTTCTGAAATGGATCGTACACTGGTTTCATTAAATGTATTAGATACAGACTTACGTGATTATAAATAATCTTTTCTTGTCCTCATTTGCAGAGCATCAGAAAGATGGCACTGTAGGAGCATTACAGGCATCTTCAAAGCCCGCAGTGCTTCCTTCTGCGTCTTCAGCGTATTTCCCTGGGCAGTTACCGAACAGTTAGTCCTAGTATCATTCACTTTATTTTTTTTAATTTTTAGAAAGTTGCGTGGCTTAAAAATATAGTGACAGCATAGATCAAATCTTAAACAAGCAAGTTGACCTGAGCTGCTGTATTGGATTGGTTCCTTTCAGTACTGCTCTCATTTATGCAGTTGAGGGGAGCAAGTTTGTACTTAGGGATTGGTGAAGATTCTGAGCAAATGACACTCTGTAGTTTGGAACATGGTGTTTTATAGAATACTAATATGAATTTTATTAAACTAATCCTTAGACATTCTCAGAAGTTCTAAGGAAAGAGTTGAACCTTGTAAAAGACATTCTAATCATACTGAATATCTGGGTAAATTACAGCCTGTTCAGATGGAATAGTATGAAGCCAAAGAATTCTATCAATTCATTTTATCATTTTTATTAGTACAATAAAAATTTTAAATTTGCCATCGTAGAATTATGAGGGAAAATGATTATCTCCTGAGGTATCTGTATTGATATTTAAAGGGAAAAGTCCTAAAATTGCCTTAGAATGAAATAAATAAATCCTTCATAGCAAGTAAATATTTTCCTTGAAACCTTTAAATTAGCTTTTGAATAAGTATTAATTTTGATAAATTTACTGTAAAAATGTTTTGGACAGTCTATTTACATGACCACATCAGGGAGAAAGCACTGTGGCCATTTGAGCTTCAGAGTTTATAGGGTTTTAATGCTTCCTGGAAGTCTGCACTCACCCAGTTTTTTTCATTTGGAATTCTAGTTGTTACGCAGTTATATCTGTATTAGTGAAATTTTGTTTTAAAAATTAGTATTTATACAAAATCTTTACTATGAGACCATCATGAATTCTCATTTTTATATCAGAATGGGTTCATTTTCATGCTTGCTTAATACAGTAGGCAAAATGACAAACTGTAAGAAGTTACTAACTTTCTTCACTTCCCTATAATTACAAGTTTCAAACAAGAATTGCTCCTTGGAAAAAAATGAGGTGATTTTTAAAAAAACTCACCCAGAATCACAGGGTCCCATTTTGTTTTCTTGTTGACCACCATCCAGTAGAGTCACATTCTCTTGAGAAAACTAAATCAGTTTTTGTTTGTGGAGATTGCTAATGCTCATGTGATACTTAAATTACTTTCAAGGACCTTATTACACAGATGAGGAAAGAGACATTTCAAGATATTAATGACATACCAATGTTACTGGCTTCCATGGCAAGACAAAGAATCTTTGCTAATTTTTTTATGAAGACACAATATTGAGTCTTATGGTACTCTTGAAACTCTGCTGGCAGTTGTAAACCGTTTGAAACTAGGGAGCTAATCTGAAAAATGTAGTAACCATTGTTAGGTAGTGACATTTTATATACACTTTTTTTCCCCATCATTTAGATATACTACATTAGTAAGAATACTTAGTTACAGTAACTTGAAGGTACTCATAATCTGGAAACTTCTTGGCAATATTGGAATCCTTCTTGTAAATAGTATGTAATATAAGACATTGTGACAGGGTTTGGATGGGATACATGTCATATGGGTAGCTCTTTAAATATAGGTATCCTTTTTCCGTATCTACACATGGAAAATTGGGAAAATTTCTGAAAGATAGGATAGAGATCCTTTGGATACCAACTTGGTAAAGACTTTTCTGGTATTAAATGTGTATGTACAGACTTGGGTGTGCTAATTAATGATTTGTTCTACCTCTTAAACTTTTGAAACTGTTTTGCTGTGTACAGTTGTACATGTGTTAATAATCAAAATGTTGCAGTCATGTATTTCTGTAAACTATGAGCTTTGTTAATAAAAGTATTAATATTTTGGGAATATGACATGTAAACAGTATATAAAAACAAATGATTGACCGCCAACATCTATATTTAGATTAAGTACTTCATTAATCTATGGGCCAAATTTTCATTTCTTTCCTTTTGTCTTTCTACAGTAGTATATTATTAAGCAAGGGAAAAGAAATGGATTCAAAGCAAGAAGGTATAAAGCTTTGATTTATTTGTTACTGTAAAATGATACAGTAACAAATAAAGCCAAAACAGGTAGGCCTTATAAGGGAATCACAGATCAAGACTTTCTTTAAAAAAAAACTCATTAAAATATTTAATTTTATTAACAATATTTACATTTCTTTTAAGACCTTATTTAACCATAGTGAATGTTCCAAGTTTAAAAAGCATTAAGCAATAACCACACACAAGATGAAAACAGTGTAAACTATACAATACTTTATGTACAATTTTTACAAAGTAACACTTTTTTAAATAATATAACTGGACACAAAAATATACACTTTAGAGAAATTCACATCAGTAATTGTATAAAGCTCTCTTCTAGGGTCCTGAAAATTTAGGACAAACATTAGCTCTGTAAATAACGTGTTACTGTGACAGTCCTGAAAGGCCACTATATATATTTATCTACATATAGATATCACATTGACATTTTCAAGGCTACCAGCTTTACTATATAATTTTTAGATTATGTATTCAAGTGTTGAGGTTCTTATGATTATGCAAACATTAAAAGAATAGTGGTATAAGTAGTTGGGGAACAAATTTGAGCCAGCATTTAGACTTACAGGCTCCAAACACCCCAATTTAAATTCTAAATGGCTGATATTTTTTCATTTCAAAAACAGTAGTGAATAATGTTAAAAATAAAATTACTACAAACAAGCTTGAAACATGATTCAGATTTAGTACAGTTTTCTTAAGAGTTTTGTTTTTAAAATGCAAACAATTCATTTACCATTTCTTTACTTTAGTGCATCTGCATTAAGGCTTTGAATTATTTGACCCAAGATTTTACAATATTAAAATCTGACTCAAGATTTTACAATGTTAAAACGAACAGGTCCACGCCATACTACCTACTCTGTCTCACTGCGAGTCGGCATAAATAGAATTAAAGCTCAACACCTGAAGGAAATGGTAGCAGAGACATTGCTAGTATCTAAGAAGTTACATATATAGTTTTTAATTTTAATTAAGGGATGTATAATAAAACAAACAGCTTAGTGGCAAGAAACTGGTGCTAATAAAACAAAAGGTTTCTTTTCAAAAGAAACTGTAACATCTTTGGAAAACTGTCCAGTTCGCTTCGGTTCTCTTTAGTTTCCACGGAGTTCATGCAGATCATGTCTTAAGACAATCTTAAAGTCCATGGCAGGTGGAAGTGGAATGTACATCCAGAACTACAGGTGAAAACTAAGACCTGGGTGCTGATAGAAAAGTCTTCCTGATTTCAGCTCACACATTTGTGTCCTGGAGTAAAGGTTCTTTGGCCTCTCCTGGCGCTTGCGTACTGTGGGGGTGGCTGTGGCTGCCACAGTGCTTTCTCCAGCTGCTGGATCTTAAGCTCAAATTGGTATGTTCCGGAATAAACAAGGCAACAAGCAGAGCCAGCAGTACTGAACAGGCTCCAAAGAGGAAAGGGGGGCCAGGGATGATGGAATTCTGAGGACGAAAAAGATAATCAGGATTTCTGCGTAAACATCTTAGCTGAGAAGAAACTGCTTATCTTTTTAATAACTAACTGCTGTGAGTTAAAAGCCAACGGCGCCTCTCCTTCATTAAAGCCCCAGTTAGAAAACATACTCCCTTTTTAGGAGAAAATAAACACTATCACACCTACAGAGTTCTGGGGAGATAACAGCTGACCCAAGAAACAGCCATAACATTTTTTTAAAACAGCACATGCAAAAAAATATACTGTCATTTGTAGCATAAAATCTGAACACATTCTGTAGGCCTTCACTTAATCTGTTCAAGAGGAAGCAGATTTCAAAAGTAAAATCAAGCATGTGACATTACATTACAATATTAACTACAGTAGCAGAATCATTACCATTTTCTTTGTTTAAATAGTTAATTGTATTCTTTAGTGACCGAAAGTAAGGGCACCACATATAATGCCTTTACTATGAGAAGAATCAAACAGACCTCTCTCCTGGCCCAATTACATTCATTTTTAGCAAAAACTTGCATCGCCAGTTTTACCTGTGTAGAGCCCACACATTCTTTTTTATTTAAAAGTAGTCTTAACTGGTCAGAAGATTAGTGTAGAATTCTGCTAAATACAAGGAAACTGATGAGTTGCTTGTACTGGCTGAAATGACGACGATGTTTTTCAGTTGTGAGGGGAATATAGCGGGCACGTGAACCAAGACGTTTGCCAGCACCCAATACGGGGAACCCTAACGCTCCGGTGGTCTCAGATGAGAAGCAGGCAGTCGTGCAGACAGGTGGTGGTTCCCTGTGCCACACGGTATCGTGAGACAAAGTAGAATATATAATTTTTTAACTACCCAGGGGAGAAAGGATGCACAGCCAATTTTACAGAGTATGCAGGAGGACACAGTCCCTTAGGTTTGGGGTTCTAAGTGTTTTTATTCAGTCTAAAGTTGTAAGACTCTCAAAAGCTTTAGTGACCAAAAATCATCTTTCAATCCAGCCAAATGAAGTACACTTTTATCACATATCTGAAGAATTACCTGTTCAAAGTGGTGCTGTGGGCTTGTGTTTGTTCCCAAGTCTGTTCCTGTCATTGGCAGTTCTTTAAGTTCCACGTGAAATATGTAGAAAATGAATCCATAAAGAGCTGGTCCCAGACCATTGCACAGTCCTCGAATTCCTGTTATCATTCCTTGAACGACGCCTGAATTGTTTAAACAAATTACTTAGTGTACCATTTATTTTTTCCTAGCCCAGAACTGAAATCATTTATTCTAAAACCAAAGTTTCTATCAGACACTAGCAACTTACTTATGCAATGGCATGAAAAATTACTTAGAAGCCATCAGCTCTGCAAAGTTCAGTGAGCTTGTCTGATGCACACGTGGGCTCAGGTAGGCCCAGGCACGCATCTAGCAAGCGGGCAGAAGCACTTTCTTTTCTTGGAAACGTCTCCTGGCTCAAAACCAGGCATGAGTTCATAAGCACAACTGTTACACAAAACTGTCCCCAGGTAGCTGCTTAAGACCTCAGTTAGTCAAATACAGTCCCTTTTTACAGAGTTTGGTTTTGTTTATCTCTGGGATCTTCTCCCAAAATGAAAATGCAACTCGCTTTGGCCACAGGCCTTTCCTCAGTTACCAGCCAAGTGACCGCTGGCACTCGTTTGTAACACCCCTCTTTTTCCTTATGACTACATTAAAACATAGGCTTTTCAAACAATTATTCCTCATGTGTTAGCATTTTAGGAATTAAAGTGTTCCTGCCACAAAAGGGTAAGACAATAGTAAGTTTTCTGTATGTCTTTAGATAGCTAAAACGTGACATTTTAATGAAAGGGTTATTTTCTGTCCCCAAGGTGTCCAGCACATCATAGCAAGCACGTAATAAGTAAACGGTTAGTGAATATAAGGTGGCCAACCTTCACTACGTTTTCTAGCAAAAGACTAGACAGGAGCACATGTTCAAAGTGAGGCAAGGCTACATACACCCACCGAAGGGCAACACCCTAGAACCTGCTTTTCCTCTTACCAATGAAAACAATGAAAAATCCTCTGCGAGAAAAATCCAGCGAGAACGCAGGGTTCGAGTGTCCTGTACTTTTAAATCATTGTCACCGGTTCCTGTCCACTCACCTTGTTGGTCGGCATCGGCAGTCCGCGAGACGAGCGCGCTGACGGCTGGGAAGGTAATGCTGGACATGGCTGCGACCGCCCCGGCCGCCCACATCATCCTGCAGCGGGAGCAGCAGAGCGAGAGCGCTGTTAGTCCCCACTGTCCCTGTCCGCGTCGAAGCCCACATTCAGAATCTAGCAACTGACGGGGAGACGGCTGTGGTGCCGGGAAAAGGAGAGCTGTGCTCGCCCTCCTTCCCATGTGCCTCCCAAGTCACTTAAACGCCTATCCCTGTTTACTCTTCTAGAAAGCAGAACTACAGCCACTTATTCACAAGAGTGGTGGGGGGTTCGAAGGCAGAACGGGGATGTCATGTATCACAACCGAACCGCAAAGTGTGTGGATATTATTACTGCAGGCCTGGGGGCGTTGAGAACCACGGATAACACACAGCAGGAAACGTCATTAAATGTTTTAAAACATTTGCTAATAACTTCCAGCAAGGTTCTCACAGGCTTGTGATTCAGCGTCATGAAATCACTGATTTGACCTAAATGTGCTGCTGGCTTGATGTTTAAGAAATGTTTTTGATAATTTAAATTATGAGTACCTCTTTGTACAAGCTAGACTGAAAAACAAAACGTCCATCGAAACACACTCTTGATGCTTACTCATACCCAAGTCCAAACAGATGGCGGCTCAGTGAATGAGACACCACTGCAAACCAAGGCGTCCGCGGCAGCCTGGCGTCCGCAGCACCGCTGCCATCGCCTCCCTGCGGGAACCCAGACTGGCAAGAAAAGCAGAGCGCCTTCCCGGCGTGAAGACGGGACCAAAACTACTGGACTCTGCCCCGTGCCTTCTGGGTTGCCATCAGTTACGATCACTGGTGTTACTCAACCTTTTTGTCCCCCCAATCAGAAAAAAGAAAAAGGCAAACAAGGCTACCTCTCAGGGCCTTATTGCTTTGGGATTACATGTTTTTTCCTCACAGACTGATCTGGACTAAATACTCACTAGAGATTCAAAAACTCAGTAAGCTCATTCAGAAACCCAACCTGTCTCTCAGGTATAAAACGTCACTTTGCTATTCTCAAGCCACTCTAGAGTATACAAATAATACACCAGTGAGAAATTTGTGTCACATACATTTTCAGAGAAGAAAAAGCATACTAAGACAGATAAAGTCAGCCTTAGTTGAGAAGCTAATTAAGAAATCCAAAAAAAATGACAAAAATATTTGTCAA